AAAAAAAAAAAAAAAAAAAAAAAAAAAAAAAAAACAAGTTCAATACTTTGAAAAAACATGGTGTGTATCTAAATCCAAAAAGAATTCATCCCCTCTGAATATTTTCACATTTTTGCAACCACAAATTTAAATGTATTTTACTGGGATCACAGTAGTTCATAATGGTGAAAAGGAAGGTAAAAAAAAAATGGTTTAGTTTTCAAACTTAAAATAATAATAAAAAAGAAATAAAAGAATCTATAAAGCCAGCCTTTGTGTTCAGACCCCTTTGTTTGGATACTCTTAAATAAAATCCAGGGCAACCAAACACAGGATGAAATATTCTAATATCACACTTACCCCAAAGGAAGCTCCCACTGGCCTGCGCACCCATTTAGGTGGCTTCTTCAGAGGAGGAACGATGGTTTCCTGCACACTGGGCTGAGGAACTTGTAGAGGAGGCAGCACTTGTCCCGTACCAAAGGGATCCATTGTATCAAATGAAGAGGATATCTGGTAAAATATAAAGAACATGATTTGTTCAATTAACAACTGCATGCTAAATCAATTCAGTTATTTGTAGAACAGAATATCTCTTTTTCCATTTCCAAATAAATACAAACACAGGAAAACTTTCACATGTTTAAATATGTGCATCAACTCTTTCTTTTTAGTACTTCCGCTATAATAAACTGTTGTTATGGATGTTTGTCAGGGGAAACACCAGTTCTCTAGGAAGTATTTTCTTTCCTCTTTCAAATTTAGCTATTAGTCAGCGTGATTTCCTTTACAACAGCACCATCTCGTGGACAGACAACTAAATGTTCAAAACTTTTTAACATTTAAACTTTAAACTAGTAATCACCATGTCAGCTGTGCTTTGCTGCTGAGCCTTCAAGCTCCCTCCCATCACAGAGTAAACTGTGATTCTCCCATCAAACGACGCTGCTGAAAGAAGGGCTGGATTCCTGGGGCACCACTGGACATCAAAGCACCACTGGTTTGTAGTTGGAAGCTCGTAAATTACCTAAAATAAAAAAAAATAAAAAAACAAGACACCAGTGAAGATCAATTGTAGCCAAGAGAGATAATTTCAGAACTACATACTGGTAAATAAAAACTTCAAATACCTCTCCAGTGTTTGGATTCCAGCAGAGGATCCTGTTGTCTTTAGCGCTACTCAGAAGGAGCTCCGAATCGGATTGGCTCCACGAAATGGACAGAATTCCTCTGGAAGACGCCAGCGGCACAAAACTCAGAACAATCTAACAAAAATTCAATCAAATTTATGCCAACGAGAGATAAATCAATAAAACTGTACCGTTTATGATTTTCCAGCACTTTAAGGGGTGACGTAGCAAAGCGAAGGTCCCACATCTGGATGACTGGCTGTCGGTCATCTTCTGAGGCCAACACCAGCTGGGTGGCCACGTCAGGGTGCCACAGCATTCCCGAACAGTGCATCTTCAGTCACATAACAAGGTAGAATGCAAAAATCACAACACCCATTTACCATCAAAGTCTTTTCAATTAGATTTTTTTATTTACTGGGCTGCAACTTTTATTTCAAAATTTCAGATATGAATAAAATTAAAATTGATAAGTTACTTTATTTCAGTTGTTCAAGTAAAAAAAGTTAAATAAATAAAAAACATAAAGCCTTTTTTTTTTAAAGTGAAATACTATTGCCTTTTTGATTACATTTTAAAGTGTGAAAATTAGGAAACAGTATAGTCTGATTTCTATGTACTAGAAGAAACACCAAACATTATATTATTGCAAATGTATTACGAATAGACAAAAAATTGCTTAAAATAAATTATTAAGGGAGCCTTAATTACATGACCTGATGGACAACAGGCAAATCTCAATTATCTCTTTTTAATAACTGAAAAAAAAAGAAAAGAAAAACAACCAACCCTGTTGCTGTGATCACTGATCTTTATGATGGGCTCATTCTTCCTCAAGTCCCACACAACCGCTTTCCCACTGGGGTTAGCAGATGCCAGGATGTGCTGAACCTGCCTGTTCCACGACACTACACTGATGTCTTCAACGGGCTGAAACAGGAGAAAACAGCTGCTTGTCCAATACAAATCAGATAATTAACGGTCAGAGTGTTAAAGCACTTTGACAACTCTGGGAAAAAAGCAGGTCAGTTTCACAAATAAGAGCAAAGGCGACACCATAAACAAAAGAGGTTCCACTCTTATTCAGGTTTCAAACTACAAAAACAGGAAATTAAATTTGAAAGTGACTGTGGTTTCAATTGTAAATAGCTTTATATAGTACAATAGAATCTGTGACTTTTCTAAATCCAGGACTTACCTGTGATTTTGCTCCTGGAGTCATTGGGCTGCTGAAGTTATTTAGATCCCAGATGTAGATCTCAGAGTCATTGGCTCCAGAGGCAAGAAGATTACTCTGCGAAAGAAAAGGCCACAGATAGAAAATTATGAATTATACGAGATGTGCTTTTGGATAATCTGTCTATAATCGCAATGTATTTACCTGGAACGGGTTGAAATCAAGTGCACGGACTGGTCCTGTGTGTTTGTCACACTGCCCAACAACAGCCTCTGCTCCAGAACTTATGATAGCCTCTGGGTTATATACAGTCAATGTGCCATTTTCGCTTCCCCCAACGAGTCTCCCTCCAGTTCCATCTTCCGCCGTCCCAAAATTTACCCATACAATGCTGTGCAACCTATGGGAGCAAAACAGGCATTACTCCATTACCCCCAAAGCCTGCAAAAAATAAAAGGGCAGCCACCCTCTACATGTGCAAAGAAGGTTGAGACATTCCAAAAAACAGTTTCACACTACAATTTCAGTTTGCTTGTAAATAAAACAAAAACATCCAATATTTCATTCCACTTGAAAATTGTGTGCTACTTTGTGTCAGTCTAGCACATAAAATGCTAGCAAAATACATCAAAGCTTGTGTGTAAAAATGTTCCAAGGGTGTGAATAGTTTTTACAATGCACTACAGTTGCAATAGTTAACAGCTATTGCCTGTAATAAGAATGCAGCATCATCCACCAGTAAGCAAAATCAAAAACCGAAACACAATGCGAGTTCTATGTACTGACTGATGGGGACTGCAGGATGTGCACGTTAGAATGTGTAAATGTATGACAGAGTACCTGTTTGTTGTGGATAATGAACCCTTGAGCTGCATCTCCAGAGAGGGGTCGGCAAAATCCATCTCAAATATCTCTATGGCAGCTGTGGTGTTGAAAGAAGCATCGAGCTGTTGTGCTGATGTTCCTAAGGCCAGGTAGATCGGATGGTGTCCGGCAGGACTCCATGCCTGGTGGGCAGTCCTCTGAATTTCCTTCAGCCTCATCTTCAACTACAGAGGTTCAAGTTTCAAAGCCTAGGAAGGTGAGACCACCAGTGTATTATTTTATTATAGGCATTTTTTGCTGTACAGGTTAACATAACTAATAAAGATAAACAAAACCTGATGTTCTCAGTAGAAAAATAAATGCATACAGCGCTAAAATTTCCTGATTCTGGATTCCCAACTCTGGAATTGATAAAACACATTGAACCGACACCAGAAGACGACATCGCTCCCCAAATCATCTGTAGCTATCGATTTGGTTATATTCCTCCTTTTCCATTCTGCTGAAGCACAGCAACATCCGTTCAGATTATTTCTGTTACCTGCCATAGGAAATGCCTTCTAATCCAGTCTACTTCACACAGCAGTAACCCGAATAACAAAAATAATCGCACCATAATTATAGCTCATCGACAATTGATTCAAATTGATGTAGTTCTTAGTACTATAATCGTCAAGTTGCCAGACTACTATCAAATAAGATTTTTCTGTTTATCTGCCATGTAGCTAGCGAGTTAGCATTTCGCAAGCACACCTCGAATGTAGCCTTCATTAAATTTCACATTACAAACGAAATTTATTAATATTATTTAGCGTTAGGGTTAAAATGTTATATATTCAACCAATCTATGAAAACACCATATCTTAAGTTTTCCAGTTTATATACTCCCAGCCGATGCTGCTGTTGCTAGCTAGCTAGTCGTTAGCCACCACCCCAATTGCAGTACATCAAAGGCAAATAAAACAAAGGATAAAAAGACTCAATTTAAATCTCCTGGTTAGGAAAATGTGTTTTTAAGAGCAACTTACGTAAACTGTGTTACACAGCTTGACAATTTGCGTCTACACGCTCCAGTGCTACTTATCAGCGAAGCTAGCAGCCCAGACCAAAGTGCTACTGCCGTGTTGTCACTAAGCTACGGATCGCCCACAGGGACATTTTACATATAACCTCACATTTCAGCTGACCTAACGCCCTGAACTCATCGGAACCATATCTGGGATAGTACAATTGTCAGAATATTTTTTTTTTCATCTGAATATTTAAAAACATCAAGTGCTGCTTTTATTTCATGAAACTAATTATATTTAAAAACATCAAGTGCTGCTTTTATTTCATGAAACAAATTTAGTCTTTACATAGAACAAAATACAATTCCACACAGATATTTTATACATTAACGTAAGTCTTTATTTTTGCCAGAAATATATACAAGAGCAAAATTGTATTTTAGGTTTAGATTTCATAATTTTTAACTTCTTCTGGTGCCTTTGCAGGATCTCCTCCTTTCTCCAAGTACAGGTTGTTGTAGGGATATTGCTTTGGGGCCTGAAACAAAAGAAATAAATGAGTGTATTACTAAATACATAAATGCAAAAATAAAGCAATGCGGAGCAGAAAAAGCAACAAGTACCCAAAGTTATCAGGGTGCATAACAAACATATTTCTTAAAGTGTTAAAGATCTGGTCTATACAAAAGTATGTAGCAGCCTTGTACAATGATAATTTTCCATATTTTCTTTGATCAAAGAGCAGAGTAGGTTGCACTAGTTTGTTTTGCTGCATCACTATTTAGTGGCCAACTGAGCTGATTAACATTTTCCTGTGTTAATTTGTACCACAGTAGAGCAGAGTGTGGTGTGATTCGGAAATTTGCAGCAAGGATGCTTTATAATTACATATTTCTAGTATCAGTTATTTAGCTATATTGATTATTTTGACAACCATAGTAAATGGACTTAAACATGGTTAGCTTTGCCTATCAGCTCTGCACATGTACCAAATTGGTTTGATTTAGTCAAATTATATACCAGGATTTTGAGATGTATGATCTCTTTTTAAAGCAACCATCACTACAATATGTGTCCAATCCTCACTGAAACTCCATCAGCAATGTATAATGAAACAATACTAAACATAGAAAAGTCCATAGAATGAAATAATACACATTTACTTGAGTCCGTCTACTGTAATTTTATACACTAAAATTGGGTGTGTACTTACAATAGGTTGATAGGATGGAAATTTCTCCCCCATGTAGAACATGAACAACATGAACCCGACGAAACCAAACAGTTGTTTCCACATCGTTGACCACGGCACAGGGCTCGGAGATGTGTCCACCCGGGTTCTGAGGTACATGTCAAAATTCCAGTGCATCTACAATATTGGCACAACAGAACAACCTATTAATCTGATGACTCTAGATATGTTTTAAGCATTCATTTGCATATAGACAGAAATTTTTGTCACAATTCTTCCTTGCAAAGTAGCTCAACCAAGCTTACATTATGTGGAGGAGCATCTAAACATCAGTTTTCACGTCTTCCCACAGAATGCTAAAAGGATTTAGTTCTGTATTTTGTGTTGTTCATTGCTATAATAAACGCACTGACGCTGGTTATTATAATGTGAAAAAAAAAGTAAAAAGTTGAGGACATATGAATACTTCTTCATGGGTGTCCAGCCATGCGAACTGTAAAACTGTATGGTATAGGACTTTGTATTTTATCTAAGAAAGCAATACATATAAATAACAAAAGCTTTAAATTGCCAGTATCTATGTTAATTATTAAGAAATAATAATATATCTACAATTAAAAAAAAAAACTTTTAGAAGGGAATTTCATCCCTGTCTTACCGGCTCTCCCCAGTTCCTCCTCAAGTCAGGGTGGTCCCATTTGTACCAAGGGTCTCTCTCGTGTTGGGACCTATCTTGTAATTTTGGGTAATCACCGAAGCTATGGAAACAATAAAATTAAAGTGTTAGTTCCGAATGTCCATTATTGTCCATTCATTAGACTCCTTCTAAATGAGCAATGCCTATGAAATTATACCGGAATGCGACATAAGCTAAAAAGCTTTCAAAAAGAAGCTCACCCCTCTCCGTTATCCGGATACGGCTCATAGTCCTCAACCCTTAGATTGTATTTCTTTGCAGCAGCAGCTCTCTCCTCTGGGGTCTTTGGGTATGCGCCAGGCAGACTATCTTTTGTCGCACCAGAGGCTGAAACAGCAATAAAAATGCATTTCTGAAAGCAATAATGAACGTGTACACAACCCAATTTAAGACTCGCTCCACTCATTCAGAACAGCCGCTGACTCTCTGCTAGCTCGAGCTAATGGTCGCAATTCAAGGTTACGTCCATGAGAAGCTTCAAACTAAAAACCATGACAAATATGTTTAAAGAAATCTTTCATACCCACAATACTAAAACACGACCTACCTGCTCTACATCCCGATACAAGGGCTGAGAGGCCAGAACCTTTACCCTTAGCGAGAGCCTTGGCCAAACGTTGGAAACCAACACCAGCCATGTTTACTGGCTGCTGTTGTCTGACAGAATGAGAGGTACGCATGCGCGAAAAATGAACTATGGGCTCCGGTAAGGAACATTGACATTCTTCCGCAATTTACAAACATTTTCTCTGAAAAAGGCGATTAATAAAAAAATAAATAAATTTGTAAAAATCCACGTCTTTCTCAAGTAGAGAATTTCTGTTATCTGTTGTTCAGAGTTAATTTTTATTTTGCATTGTGCTGGGAATGTTTATTATGCAAAGTGGCATACAATGGTGGCTGTAACTGCAGTTGGTTCATGAGACTAAATACAAATACGCACTACACTTTAAGAATTTCATTAAAACTTTCAAGCCCATTTTTGATTTTTCTTTCAATTCAAATTTCTGTGATGATAAGTTATGATTTTTTAACGCACTCCTTTTATGTTCTTTTGTTATAGCGTACTATAATTATTGTGCTTTTTAAGTTTTATTGGACATTGTAAAATCTACACTGTTTAGTAATAATTGTAAATAATTGGAAATTGTGTATGATTTGGATATTTGAAAAAAAGTAGGCACAAAGTTGTGTTGTATTGCACATATACACTTAACAGAAAAAAAACACTAAAATTTGTGGTTGTGTAATGTGATAAAATATCATAAAGTTTAAGGAGTAAGACTCCTTTTGTACTACATATAAGGGGTGAGAGGCCAGAACCTTTTTCCTCAGCAACATCCTTAGTCAACTCTTAGAAATCAACACCAGTCTTGTTTGCAGGGCATAACTACTGCTGTGCTTAGCCGCTATATTTTTACGTTGGTTTTAAGCTAGGGTTCATCAATGATGACAATGACAAAAACAAAGTTCTAAATCTCATGCTTTATTTTAATTTAGAATCTGAATGGCAGTTCCAAGTCCATTTCCAAGAAGCATGACAGTGACATGGAAACTCCTCGAGTGGCTGAAAGGGAACTTGTTCTCAGAGAGAATGCACTGAAGCTCCTACACAAGTTCCTCTTCCAATCAGATTCAGCTCAGGTGCACATATGCATTTACTGAGTGATCATCACTCTGCCATCAGGGAGTGTTTCCCTAATGTCCATCAGAGAAGGTCTGCTATGTCTTTCTCCACCATTTCAATGGGGCAGTGAAGTTCATACCTACACAGCAAGGAAGATGGCATGTAACAGAAAAAAAAACAGCCTTAAATTAGCTGAAGGTTTTGTAAGTGATATTTACCTTTTGAAAGGGGTGCCATCTGAATTAATAAGAAACTTCTCAAAATTCCATCTAATGTCGTTGACACATATTGGGGACCAGTAGAACTTCTTTATATCTCCAATAAGAGGATTAACAAATGGCAGCGAGTCCTGTGGAGAACAAGAAGAGACAGAACAGCTGTGCTAACCGGAACGATTCTGAATCATTTGAGTGTATACATCTGAAATCTTTGTAGAATGCAGTATACCTTTAGATATGTAAAAAGAGGTTCTTCGTTCAACCCATTCACCTCGATCTTGGCAAAGACAGGAAACTTTGGTACAAACCCACTGCCAGGTCTCACATACTTCAGTACATTGAGCATTTCTTCATTCACCTCTAAAAACAGATGCATGTAAAATTATTTATGTATTTTATTTATTTCTGTGTTAGCACATGTCACTTACAAGTAAAAACTGTTTTATAAGTGGCATTATCATAGACTTACAAAAAGTGCCGACTGTTCCAGTCAGAAGTTTCCATTCACTTCTCATTCTCATGAATGTTATGTTAATTTTAGGGATTTTATGGTTGCATTTGAATTGTTCTTTTTACAGAGTGAAACAATAAAAACAACTTCAACAAATTTTGAAAATCTAAAATGGATTCACAAGTTTGAACTCACAATGAATTTTCTTGGATCCACTAAGGTTGTAAGTCTTATATCCAGGTTCAAATAAATACATATGCATCCACTAAAATTTTATTAAATTCCCCATAACGAAATGCAGAGAAACCACATTTTCCAATTGTCAGGTAGGTCCTGGCTGGATGTTTAATGAACCTTTGAATTAGTAGAGTTAATTTAAATTGGTTGGTTTCCTTCCAAAGACTCTGCCTTTAATTAAATATTTGATTTAATTTCAAACCTCTGTGTAAGAGAATAACTATGATAAATTTAAACCTATGCATTGTATTCTCTTTCTTTATTAGTTATCAAAATTGCATGCTGTTTAATCATCAAAAAGAACAATTTCAATATATCACTTCAACAGACAAAATAATATAACAACTCACCTTTTACTCTACTTTTGAACAAAGGCTTTTTATTATTATGGCGGTTCAGCAAAACAAATGTTCAGTATACACACAATGCAAGCAAAGAACTTTTCCCTATAAGTCCAACAATCTTTGCCTCATAAACATAATAAGGAATAAAGAAAGCATTATAAGCTTAATTAAATCAGAGGAGAAACTTACCAGGTGACTGAAGACCAAACTGGTTGCAGGGGAAACCTAACACAGTGAAATTCAGGTTGCCAAACATTTCCATTAGTGCATTCATTCGGTGGTACTGAAAGAACATGGAAAATAATGGTTGCAGTAAGGCTATGTGGGTACACTATGTAGAACATTATGCAGTCAATGTTCTTGAAGAATCACCTCCTCAATCGTTGACCCTCAGAAGGTGGCAACATTGACAATGAGCAGCACCTTTCCTTTATAAATGCTCAATGGGACTTCCTCTCCTTCCAGCGTCTCAGCGGAAAAATCATATATCGACTTGTACGCCATTCTTGCTCTATGCCTTGTATATGGACTATGTTTACTGAGGAGTGAGCATTCACTCCACTACTCTGCTGGCTGCTGTCATTCACTGAAACATAACTTGTTGGGTCAGCAGTTGTTCTGCATGATTGACTTCATTGTAGCTCTGGACAGAGGTGAGCTGGCTGAGTAGCTGACTGCTGAACTTAAAACAGCTCTTGTTTATCTTTGGAACTGGGGGATTAAGAGAACAGTTATTTATTTTGATATATTTTGACATATTATTTGAATTGTGATTTTGACTTATGAGATTCAAAAATATTTAGTTATGATCAACAAATGTGGTTACATTGAAAAATGCATAATTTTATTGTGGATACATAGTCAGTGCCTATACTTTCATGTTACTAAAAATGCAAATAAATACTTGTTTTTGAAGATATTGTGTAAAGAACTCAAATTTATTTTCTGCTATTTTCATAAAAAAAATTCTAGCTATTTTTCTTTCTCTAACTGTGTGTGTGTGTGTGTTTTAAGATGCTGTGTTGTGCCAGTGGTGTTTGAATTATTGATGTTCAAAGCACTAAAGGGACATATAAATTTATCTGAAAACACCTATTTTTTATGTGTAGAATAAAATAAGTTTGGGGGAATTTTAAAAGGAAGAAATAATTTAACATCCTGATTTGGGAAATGAGCATAACATCGGGTGGCTTTTTGAAAAAATGGCAGCTGTAACAAATCAGTCTACTTATAATCCCATCGTCTCAAAAATACAAAAAATCAGTCATGACGCATTCAAGTGTTCACCGTAAATGTTATGACCAGTGATGTATTTCCCGGGTTACTGTTATAAAACACTACAAAAAAATTATGTATTTGACAAAAATTATTTCAAAATTACTCCATCAGAAAGGATTAGCACGTTATTTTTGTAAACGAATATAATTTAGGTGCATTTGCTTCTCTGGCTAAATGATTTACAAACTAAATTGCAACTCAGACTAATCAGGTACCCCATTATGTTGTGCTTTTCAGTGGCAGTATATAATCTGACAATTTTACAAAGTTCCGTTATCTTCTGTGAGATGATTTGCGCAGTTTTCTTTGTTGACAATAATTATTCCGACAGCCAGCGAATGCAGCTTTTGGTTTAGGTTACACCTCAAACGCTTTACAAGATGCTAAGGCAAAATACGCTCCTTAGGTGACAATGTAAAGAACAGCTCGTCCTGAAAAACAGCGTATTACGCAGCTGGTTCACAATGGATGAAGAAGGCAGTTGGCAGACGTAAGTAGCTTTTAAAACGTGTTTATATCTCTAAAAAAAACAGCTGAGTTGGTGGCCCCGGCAGACTAGCTCTCCGGCTAACAGCGGAAGCGTAAGATTATTAACCAACAGTCACTGGAACGCAGCTCGTGCCATTTATATATAGCTGGCAATTAATTTTAACTATATACAGCAGCGCCAGGGCAAACGCAACGGCACTCAATGCTAATGCATTAAATTACCCCATTGTGTGTTTACTCGTATTCGTTGATTTTTTTTTAAATTTTATTTATTTTATTTTTGTTTAAGCGTTTGCAGAGTCAAAGTTCAGCTGTAACAGGGTTTGTTTTCCTGCAGATGTCATCTCTTGGACCTGCCTTGGGAGGATGTTCTCGTTCCACACATTTTGTCCTACTTGCCGTTGCAGCACATTGTCAGCCTGCAGAGGGTTAGCAAGCAGTTCCACAGCCTCGTCCAGGTGTATCTGGCCAACTGCAGGACTTTTAATTTTTCCACCGTAAGTAATGGTACATACTTTTAAAAAGGAGCAGTGCATTGCAGCAGTAGTTTATAAATGTGAGGGAAATGGATGGATGCTTTTCAAAGTTGTATGAATTAGAATGCTGAAAGGTGCAGATGTGTTCATCTCCCTTTACTCTGATATTCCTAAACTGCAACCTGCTACGTTTGATAATTATAATTAACTGGAACGAATATTTCATTATATTGAAATGACTTTTCTTACAAAGTGCCTTGAGATGACATTGCTTTACAAATAAACTGAATTGAATTTGGAATCCAAAGAGCCATTTTTGCCCTCAGTCCAGGTCATATAGCTTGTCTAGAAGCTAAACTGTTCCATCATCTTTTGAAAATAAACGACATAATGCCTAATGAATGTCTCGTATAAGAAATGCATTGTCATTTTTAAAGAAACGGCATTTTATTTAAGTTTTCAGCAATTAGAATAAGCAAAGACATAATAGCAAAAACAGAATAGTTAAAATTTTGGGATGTTATTTGTTCAAAATTATGTAAGCAATAATGTACTGCTCAAACCCGCATTTAAAGACATCAGTTGGTTAATAATTTTTAGCCAAACTCATTAAAAATTATTGTGGAAGATTCAAAGAGCCACTAGCAGACCAATGGCCTAAATAAAACCCAGTGCAAACAGTTGCCTTCAGATGAAACCTATTAATTAGTGAATATAGTCCATATTTGTGTAACTTTATCTCAGTATAAATACAGTTACTATGCATTGTAAAGCTTTCTCTGAGATTTTTAGTGACCAAACAACACATGACTGGTCTAGCCAAGGGGCTAGCGGTAACTCTGGAGGAGATGCAGAGATCAACATCATAAATATAACTACTATAAGTTGTGTTCTCCATAAATCTGTCCTTTATTCAAGAGTGACTAGGAGAAAGCCAGTTGTTGAATAAAGCCATAAGAAGCCCCGTTTACTGTTGGCCACATGCTGTGTTGATGACACAGTAAACAAGTGGAAGAAAGTGCTTTATTTGCAGGAGATCCAAAAGATTTTTTGCAAATCACTACAACATCCTGACTACAACAACCCCAGCTACTTTTCACAGGATATCGGGGAAACATTTTAGTTAAGTTTAAGGGTTGAATACAATTCCCTGTCTCTTTCCAGACTTTTATTTAAAAAAAACAAAAACGTTTATCATTTTTTTCCTTCTATTTGCACTACTCGGTTGATCTGTCATATACATTAAAATTGTAAATCAAATAATCAAGGGGGACTGTATTGGTTAGCAAAATATTTCAGCTCCATGTTCCGTTTGAATATTTGCAGATTGGACCGTGCATCCCCAAGGAAGCATTTTGCACAATGTTAAAAGACAATAAAGTTCTCCAGAACCTGTCCCTTCAAAACTGTTCAGACTGGGTCACAGACAAGGAGTTGCTTCCTGTTATCGGCCAGAACCAGCATCTGCACAGGGTAGACATGAGTGGCTGTGCCTCCCTCACCCGCCACTCCTTAGTGGCCGTGTCCTTGAGCTGCACGCATCTCCAGCATCTCGGCCTGGCTCACTGCGACTGGGTGGACTGCCTGTCTCTGCGCAGCCTGGCTGACCACTGTGGAGGGCTCCGGTCGATCGATCTCACCGCCTGCCGCCAGCTGAAGGATGACGCCATCTGCTACCTGGCCAAAAAGTGTGCTGAGCTGAAGTCGCTGTCGTTGGCGGTCAATGCCAACATTACAGACGAGTCGGTGGAAGAGGTGGCCAAGAACTGCAGGGGTCTGGAACAGCTGGATCTGACAGGTTGTCTGCGAGTCCGGAACCAGTCCATCAGGTTTGTAACGTACTGATTCTAAAAGGGGAAACGATGATATAAGTAGCTTATTGTTAGCTTTGGTGTAAACTGTATTGTTATATCCTCATTTGTAAGTCGCTTTGGATAACAGTGTCTGCCTTTTATCCAAACATACATGAACAGATGAATAGAGAAAAGACAACACATTTAACCTTTCTCCAGGCAACAATGTTTGACATTTTAGTCCAGTTAGACAGGACAGTAATTTGAACAATAGAACATGCCTATTTGTAGTGGTTTTCATACTCCTTGAGGTTTTTTAAGTTTTATGTTATTGTTATTTACTACGTAATTAATAATTAAAATGAGCTCGATAATTTCCATTTCCGATAATTAATTTTTTTTGTCATACAGTTTTGTTTAGAGACATCGTAATTAATTTGATTTTTGGTTCCAGTTGTGTGTTTTTTATTTCCATTTTATTCATTGTTTTGGTTGTTGTTTTATTTAGAATATTTAATATATCTTCCAGTTCCAGTGTTCAGTGTTCTTTACAAAACAAAAGTTTATTAGTCTTTGATAGGGTAAACTTGCATATTACTTAAACGGTCTCAAAACAACAATTGCATAAGCAGCTATACATATAACACTCTTTTTTCCTAAAGCGTTTGATTTGATCATCCATTCATAAGTTCCCCCTGTTACTCCTATGCCCCAAAGAACTCTTGCAGAGTATTGCCCAAAGCTGCAGTCCCTGAGGGTGAATCACTGTCACAACGTGACCGAGTCGAGCCTCGACCCTCTCCGGAAGCGCAACGTAGTGATCGATGTAGAGCCGCCTTTACCGCGGGCCCTGGTGCTTCTTCAGGATATGCTGGGTTTCGCTCCTTTTATCAATCTGCAGATCTAGCCACAGGGAGAAACTCAAGAACGAGTTCGCAAAGTGAGGTAAGAACAGCAGTTGCTGTCGAGCTTTTTTTCGCCAGTTACATTGACGTGGTGGTTTACAGACTCGTCTTGCTTTTGTTGCAGGCGACTGGCAGCTGTCACTTGAACCCATATCACGTGATGGAGAAATGATTCGACTTTTCAGAAAAGTATGGATGTGGAATAAAAAAAACAAAAAGAGAACCTCACTGGATCGTGGTCAGCGCTGCAAAGTTAGAATTTAACTGAAAATAAGTTTGAATTTAACATTCAAAGAAGAAAGCCATGTGTGTTTTTAGCCTTGCTGCCTCTTGTCCAAAATATATTACTGCACTTTTTATTCACTTAATGTCGCAAGATTGCATTCCTAACCAAAAGCATAATGTATTTTTGTTGTTGTTGTTTGTTCCAAACAAAATGCAAAGCTACAAATGGTCTTATGTTTCATTTAGAAACATTTACAATGTTTGAGTTTAATTAAACATTTTGTTTTGCTTGAGTTTACTTGCAGAAAGGGTCACTTCACCCAGGGCACACAAATGCATTTCCAAAGCGGTCACTGCAACACTAGATATTTGTTTTAATTTATTCAAGGTTTAATATCTCTTGAAACATTTAGGTTTTATCTGCTGTTTCACACTTTGCCAGACCAGAAGCACTCAGAAGTAACTGAATCATTATATGTTGTTTTTGTGATGTGATTGAAGTGACCCATAGAATGATAATGTTCTAAATGTACAGCCTCAGCACGTGTTTAAAACACAAGAATTTATTTGGACTTTTCCCCATTAAGTCCAAGTAGATTTTATAAGAACTTGTAAGGCAGTTATTGTTCTTGTGACACGGCACATGAATTATGTAAGCAGTTAAATGGGGAAATGCCACCCGAAAAATTGTGTATTAATCTGCTGTAATTTGTAAAGCAAAACTTTTTTATGCATGTTGACTTTTTTTTTTCTTTTAAAATCAGTAGTCTAAAAACTGAGGGAATGACTGTTTTTTTTTTCTTTGAAGTTATCCTCCTCTATTTGTTTCCACTTTCCCTTTTGATCCAGACACTGTACCGTAAAGACAAATTAAGATCATGTGTTGACATCTCACGACATTTCTGAGTTCAATTTAAAGCTTCAAACACTGAAGCAAAATCACTATAATAGCCCTGTTTTACATTTATTGTCCACTTGATGGCATAGTGGAGCAAATGAAGCATCATGAAGCTTTGGCTCCTGAGTGGACCAATTGGAAAGAAAGTTTCAGTGCTTCAAAGCCTTATCTTGCTGTCACTAGTGGACTGGTATATGTTGCAGAGGTGAGGAGTTCAAATAGGATTCTAGATGGTAGGTGATCAAATATGTATTTCATGCAATAAAATGCCAATTATTTAAAATTTGTAGTGTCTTTTTTGGGGTGACTTTTTTTTTTCTTTAGTAATCTGTCTCTCAATGTTGAAGTTTAAGACTACGAAGAAAATTACCTACTTCTTTGTTCTAGATGAAAATGGTGAAAATTCTGTGATGTATCAAATTCTCATTTCCCCCACTGTAAGTGGACAGCAATGTCTTGGTACATCTGAGGGGGTTCTGTACTGTTAGATATAAAAAACTCAGAATATTGTTTTACATCCAAACCCTGTTTGTTCACTAATTCTTGAGTGCTTTTTTTTAAAACTTAAAGAGACACAAGATGGCAGCAACGAGTCAGGATATTTGTCTTTAGTTCTGTTTGAGAGCCTCCACTGGTTTAAACTCCAATTGATGACAGAAATATTACAGTTTTATAGCACAGATACATTACCAATAGTTCATAAAATGTTGCACTTTTCAGGGATTTGGAAGCAAAAATCTTGTAACTGACTTGTTTAGTGGGCTGTGACAACTAACATCAGCTTTAAAGGCCTTGTTATTGTCTGACGGAGCGAATGCACAACAAGAATTAAAGCTTTCCCCTTGTTGTCACAGCTTCTTGCAGTTTCCTCTGGTGGTCCACTTGGCAGACTATGCCAAGTCTAGTCTCCGCGACAACACAACAGGTCTATTTTCCACATGATGGCATGGTTTACCCCATCTGCTGCGTGCTGTCCGCGTTGGTTGTGTTTGTAGGGCTTCAGGGATCGAGCAGCATCCTTCTGTTGGCTGTGTTGATCTTCATAATTTACTGCTGTCCCTCAGAGCAGGCTGCATGGTGCTCTTAGTTAGAAAATGTTCAATTTTAGCTTGTACAGTTGCTGGTTGCTTTTATGGACATTTAAGGATATCCAAATCAACCTAGTCATATTTATGTCATATTTTTCAATGAATATATACATTAAAAAAAAAGTTTGATTCTCTTTTATACAACCTCTGTGCCTCTAAGTCACTCTGTAACGACCCAAAAGGCCCCAGTTCTTGTTGCTGAGCAGCGCTCCGTGGGTTAAAAAAAACATTTCAGGCTACATTCATCATCTAGGACCTCAATTAGCATTGATCTGCAGGAGGGAAAAGAAACATTGCCGCAATATGATATTCCATGGAGCAATTTCTGTTCCAGTGATTGAGTGTATGGGGGGGATTTCTCAAACACAGCCAGCCAAACATATTTTGTCTTCCTGTCAATAATCTGGCACTTGTCTAAATTATTGATCAATAGCAGCTGATCATTTTATACGAAGGCTCAGCAATGAAGTTGGTCCATTCCGTTCATGAAGCAGTTTTAGCTTCAGGCACTGTGTAATATATGGAACTCATTAAAGCAATGAATAAATCTAAGTTTATTCTCTGACTGCATATAAAGTCCTTACTGACAGTAAAGATGTTGTCCAGAGATCTGGGAGGTATGTTTATGCTTCTTGTGAATGCTGAGTCACGTAACAAGAATGAAAGAAGACTTTCATCATTCTAGAAAATACAAATAAGATGATGAATGTTTTGATTCTTTGGTAATTCAGTGTGTTTGAGTCATTTTTATTTGGATTCAACAGGATGAGGAAATCAATTTCAGGTATATTCTCTTGAAAAACGATGCAAACCTTATGTTTTTTTTACACCTCTTCAAATTACAATGACAAGTCAATGACCAACAAAGTATGGTGCATATCAAAATGATACACGGGACTCTGGTATTTTTTGGCAATAAAACTTTGAGGGGGGCGGGGGGGGGAGCCCCGTTAGCAGTTTTTGGCTTACTTGCAAAGCATTTCGTGGAGCAGAAAACTAACTACTGAACACACCGACGCAAAGGTGAAACATGAGAATGGCAGTGTCATGCTGTGGAGGTGTTTTCTCTTCAGCAGGGACTGGGGAGCTGGTCAATTCTGACGGAGAGATGAGTAAAGTTACATTCAGAGTGATAGAAATAGAAATTTTAAATGAAAAGTTTCTATTTTGTTAATTTCGCTTGAATGAAATAGAAAAGATTGAATGTTCTGCCAATAGGTGCAATGATTGCATGAGTGCATTATATGTTAGATTTTATTTTTTGGAGGGGGATATGGGGCGGGTGGGGTCATTTTCTTATACAATCAACCTTTCTGTTTGCACCTGGCCTATTGCACTCTGCAGCACAGGGCACACACTAGTAAGCTGAGACTCCCCAGAGAATAAAACCAACATCCTTGTGCCATTTCCTTTCTCCTTTTACACAAACAAGGATGGACTACAAGACATGTTGTCAGTAGTGGATAGAATAAAAGAACAATGTTCATTTTACTCAAACATATACCTATAAAAAGTAAAATCAGAGAAATTGATAATTTGGATTTTTTCCTATATATATATATATTAGGAACAATAATCAGAAATTGAATAAATTGATTTTTTTTTCTCTACCCACTGTCTCCACTGTTTTTGAAATGAACTTCATATAAGGCGATGAGAGAATTACTGTAGCTGTTCAGATGGGCCTAAAATTTGAGTCAGAGATTTTGTTCATTTTCATATTTTTAATTAAGAGGCTTTCCCCCCTTTCGTCTTCCATCAGTTATTTCATTTATGTGATGTAGTTTATCTCCTCCAACCATTCACATACAAACTTATTGGATCCCGGGACTTAAGGATCCATCTTTTGGCCACCAAAGAAGCATAACTAATGGCAACATTACAGTGCCTTTGTGAGCGCGGGCATCAAAGTGTCGATCAGCCAAGCAAGAAATAATGTTGGATTTAAAAAAAAATCAAAAAAAAAATCTGCATGATTAAATGTGGATGTTTAAAAATCTGTGAGGCTCAGTTTAGACAGATATTGGAGGTGGAGATATACTTCTTCTAGTGGGAGATAATGAACCTCTTAAAGGTTTTTATGGTTGTCACTGATGTAAGGGTTTAACAAATTTTCTTCAATGCCCGGGCTATACGTAAAGTCAGGCATAGCCTCAGAGTGGAGAGACTGACGATGCAAGATATCTGGAAGTTTCAGCCACATTTTGTAATTATAAGCTCCAGAGCATGGTGTATAGGAAGCATGTGATTCACTTAATAATAATAATAATAATAATAATAATAATAATAATAATAATAATAATAATAATAATAATAATAATAAATAAACAATAATATTAATAAATGAACAAAGAAATTAACAACAATAAAGAGAAATGACAATGCTGTCCATGAAAAAAAAGATTAAATCAATAAACATAATGACACAAATAATCAGAGAGAATATAAAAACAATGAAGCTGTTAATCATCGTGACATTTGTGACATTTGTCCTAAATTAACACAGAGCCATGGAAGACAAAGCTAGTTTCAACTAGTGAAGGCGCTACTTTGTTCATCCACCAAAACCTGATCTCAGGAAACATGACTGGTACCATTGTTAGAATGTTTATTAATTTAATGTAAAACTTTTCTTGCTTTATATAGTAGATGGAAGCATATTTTATTGAAAGTAATGAGCACTCATGATAGGAGAGAGCCCCTCAAAATGAGACTTGCTTTCCTGCTCCCCATGGCTGCATCGTGTTTGTCTCAACATGCCACACAGTTGGATTTCTAACAGTACATGCACAAGGCTTCAAAGAGAACAAATGAATGGCTGTTTTTTTAAGGACAAAAAAAAAAAGGCAAAAGGCTAAACATTATGAATATTTCTGCTTTTGTTGTCATCGTACATCATGGGAATCGTTAATAATTAAATATAAGTCCGTTAAAAATATAGAATAAACAAAAGGTCACATAAAAGTGAGAATAAACATCACTTCATGAAGTCTGCAAGTTGATCAGGATCATAATAATTTGATAAAAGTGCCAAAAAGTTAAGTTGTAAACATTTGATGACTTGTACTCACAAACACTAAGAGCATATTTTATCATGCGAAGCATCCATATCTCCTCCATGTATCGGAACATTTACGAGGGATTCACGTGTTAAACGTAGACCCATGCCTTGTATTTTAGTCCCAATCTTAAAGCGAGTGACCTTCATCTTCCCACACCTATCTGAGCCTGACTCTGAGCACCTACCCTGTATAAACACACCAACATCCTAATAGAGAATATGTACTTAGTATAAATATGATGAGGATTCATCTTGGCAGGAGCATTTTGCCCTCTTACTAATCTGGGCCGCTAAACTGTGAGTAACCGTGTTGAACCTGTGTCGTCCAGGCAACAGAGATCAGAGTTCAGTGTTCTGGCTTAATCACAGATCACATCTTGTTATGCTTTGGTGGATGCTGTGAGATGCACAGTTGTCTCATGTTTTACTTTGGACGGAGACAAAAATCAGATTTAAGAGGAGGTGAGATTTCCCTGCTGAGTGGCTAGGTGCTTGAACTTTATTTCTAGCATTTATACCTTAAATGATAGATCATCTGCATAGATTTACATTTCTGTGGTGTATATTAGAAGCTATGCTTGTTACCGCACACAGTCTGGAACACAATTTCAAACTTCTACAGGTCCTAATATCACCATGCCGTCCCATATTTATAATTCTCTATAAAGACTCACACAAAGGAAGCTCTCAGTGTTATCTAACAAATGGAGCACAAACAGCAAAATATGTGTTTGCTACAAGTCTCAGCCCACAGATTAATGACATTAACGAAGTTTCCATTAGCACAACGATCAGGGGAGACAGAGGCGTCCATGCGTAAATCCACATGACTGAATCGCTGATAAGAGAAAATGAAACACATCTCTACGGGCCAAGAGGGGCCAAGAAACGCCACTCCAAATTAGTCTGCGGCCCAATTTGTTGTTACTTCATTAACCGACCAGCATCTATAGAGCAGAGGAAGGGGGAGTTGTGACCAATGTTTTGGCCAGAAATGCCTTTATTAGACATGTGGGAGAAATGAGAGCCGGGAGAGGAGCAGCGAAAGGGCACAGGGAATTTCACGTTGCTGTGAATCTTGATTGTGAAATAACCTTGAGTATAATGCCAATGCGGTGGAGCAAGGACTTTTAT